CTTAAGAAGCATATAATTTTAACAGCTATTTCAAAATATATTTGTATGTAATTTGGACAGAAAATTTAAAAAGAAAACTTCTCTCATTTTAAGGTAATGATTTGAAGTAACCATAAGACTAAAAAACATAAAACTAAAACATAAAAACATAAGACTAAAAGCAACAAAATTCTATATGCTTTAGAAGTTTAAAATTCTAACAAATAATAAATGAGTGATTTTTTGAAACTAAAGAGAAATATACCAACCTTTCAGAAATCTGAGTTTTTCCATCCAATCTGAGGTACCTATGCTGATGATGTTTTAAGAGAACCTCTAAAATATCCAGCATCATGGTAAATTGGCTAAATAATACAACTCTATCACCCTGTGAAAATACACACGTGGTTCAGAAACAGAAATATAAAGTGATTATACATAGTACTCAAAGTTTGACAGGGCTAAGCAATTAGGAGTGTTACCTATATCATGCTGACAAGTTTGCAGAAAATTCCCTATGATACAAGTACCGATTGCTTCTTTAATAAAAATCAAGTAATGATACCTAAGATAAATTTCTTCTAGCTTATGTATGAATAAATTACCTTAACTTCTATAACTTCAAAGCTAAAATTTAACTTTTAGTTTTAGTTTTAAGAACAATTAAATATTACTTCCTTTTCATAACAGAAAAATGTCAGCAAATGTGAATAGCAGTATAAGTATTTACTAGATTGTAATCTTACAAAATTAAGCTATTTTACACATAAAATGCAGTGTTACTTAAGTAACTATTTAACAAATAGTATCTTCTAAAAATTTTGAAGCATTCATACAGATTGTCACCTATGAAATAACGACAATTAAGATTATTTTTTTTAAACATCAATACAGACATAGTTTACGAATTTCTGTTCTCTTTGAGGTTCCACAGAGAAAGAGAAGTAATCAGGAAAATGTATGTACAAATATGTCAAGAAAATGCTCAAAACATTAGGTTCTAGAATGTAGAACAGACACAGGCTAAAACTTTAAGAAAGTCAAATCATGCAAGAATTACTTTAAGAACTTTTAACTAGGAAAATGCAAGAGGAGTACTATTCTTTCTTAATACCTTCTGTTTCAATTCAGACAAGATGCATCCTAAAGCTCGAAATTTTCCAGAATCTAAAATTAAATCCATGTCTAACTGGAAGTTATTAATGTGTCGATATTGTTTACAAAGTACATGTAGTTCAAAGTCTGTCATAACTTCCATATCTTCAAAGATCAGGTCAGGGTTAGCCTCACAATGTGTAGGTTCCTTAAAACAAAACAAAATACAATATATTTCAAAATAAAAAATTTTATAATGTGATTAGAACATTTTAATAAAATTGTTCACATCTGATAAAATACTTAAATCACAGAACATTTTAGTGCAACAGATTTAGCAAAGGAAATTAATATTCATTTTTTAGGTATAGCAAAAGGGGGGAAAGTCCTTATCGTTTCAGAGATGACATAAATGAATATATGAACATTTACAGATGAAAT